TCATCTTATTAGTTATTTAATCTTTGCATAATTTAAAAGCAGTTATTTATAATATGAAAATATTAATTCGCGGCTGTCCCGTCATCCACGCTACCCGGAAAGACCGCTGACCTGATGCTTTAAATTTGCTAACAACCAGACACAAGAAAAAGCAACACTAATGCCCCGTCTGGGTGCGGGTCATGAATGGGCTCAGGCCTGAAATACAGACCCAACCAAAAGCACCCTGCGTGTTTGTTTCTATTTTTTGTTTTCTTATCCTCAAAATAATCTGAAGTTGTTTTATTTTAATCGCAATTAAGAAAATAACTCATTGGTTTCAAGTCAGAAATTTATGTCAGAATAAAAAAATCTCATGAATTAATTTCAATCAACGTGATAATAATTTTTTCTTAGAATTTAGGATTTAGGGTTAAACCCTAAATTTATGCATGCGTCCGGATTTCTGAATATTTCCGGATAAACCACATTAGCTATTTTCATTTGAATGAATAAGTACTCCTCTAGTCCTAAATAAGACCCTTATACTAGTATGTATAAGGATCTTATATTTAGGACCAGAGAAGTATATTATTTGTAATGATATTAATATATTAATATAAACCTTCGGCATCACAAATCCCTTATTCATTCCTTTGCTGTGGTATGCTAAAAATACTAAATTTTAAAAATGTTTAAGGTGATATTTCTATCCCCATAAAAAGAAATATGATTCAAATTTTAAATCTTGCAAAAATAATCATAGAGGTCTGTATTTTAAAAATAAAAAATATCAATAATTTAAAAGTGCCGGAAAAAAACATAATCTTTTATTGCCTAAGTAAATATCACGTATAATGATTGAAGAAATGATATATATATATTGAAAATTTAAAATAAATTTTACTGAATTACTAAAAATGTGAATCAGGTTTTATTTGTTTAGAAGAAGAAAATCTTCATTCATTCTAAGTCTGGGTTAATTTTTATGAGGCCACATTAAATCCCACACAGTCTCAGCTTGTCATCATAGTTCTTTCACTTAAAGATTTCAGATTTCCACCCACAAGGATTTTAAGCCAGACAATCAAATTTAACTCCAATATTCACATAGCTTGATTTGAATTCATCAAATATCAAACCGTACAATATTAAAGACAGTTTATAGCACTTGACCCGGAAATCAAAGCCTCTTTAATAGGATATTTGGTTTTTAATAAAAGTTAGTTGTTAATTTGAGGAGATTAAGAAAATTAGTTAAATTAGTTATTTGTAATAAATAGGTATTATCATTCCTAAAATATCCTTTATTTGTAATCAATAGGTATTATCATTCCTAAAATATCCTAATCAAGTTTATTGGCTAGAATTACCATTATTACAAGGACTACCTGGAGAAAAAATGGATAAATATGAGAGACAAGGTAGATTGAGGTTTTATATTTAGAACCAAATAAAAGTTAAACAAACTCTTATATTAAGAACCGGATGTAATATTTATTAAAGAGTGATAGAGAATTGATTGTCATGGACAACATGAAAAATGTCCATGTAAGCTCATTTTTAACTTCTTCATCACATCACACTTCCCAACCATGTATTTGCTGACCGCTCTTCTAACCCAACAGTGTAAACCAAATTTTAATTTAAACTCTTGTCCTAGATTATTTTAACCATTTCTGCAAAACTATGTCAGCATTAGGAAACTCAAAGCAATCAAAATCAAAATTTTATCTTAATCATTTCCCCAAACTAATCAATAGTTCATCAATTTCAAAGGATATGACAGGCAAAATTTCTTATACAAACCAGAAAAAAAGTTCAACACTAACATGAGCTCACTTCCCTGTGCCTTTAAGCTCTCTACTGAAGCCCACTTCCCTGTGTCATATCATTAAAACTCACTTTCCCTAGGTATATATCAAAACTGAGCAACAATTACATGGCCCTGTTTTGGTAAGCTCACTTAATATTTGAAGAGTTTTGTCTACATTCTTAAATAACTTCGCATTGTTTTATCATACTTTCAGCCCATGGTAAAGTTGAAGATAAAAAATACATGCCACAAAATTAGATGAAATATAACAGAGGCAATGAAATCATCAATCTTTTGGTAAACCAATCTCTCTAGAGTTTCGTCTATATTCTTAAATAGACCTATTCCAGTTTGAAATGATATGACTCACAAAAAAGGTCCTCAATTTTGTATTCTACCCAATCAAACACCGCAACCCTTACTTTATATTATTATTTTTAAGTAAAACAAGGGTATCTCTAAATCACATTGAACTTGAAACTAATTATTTTTGAACCTGGAGCAACTAAGGAATAACCTTTCCAATAAGTGTACTTAGAATTCAAACTTGTGTCATTATCTTTACGGGGATAGTTAGTACCATTTCTCTCTCATTCGATCCTAATAAGTCAATTATTACTTGGTGAAAACTAAATCATGATCTTAAAAGTGATTTTACAGTATACAAAATACGCATGTGAGAGGAATTTTATATCAAATCACGAAACACTTTTTAAAAGTGATTTTGTTAGAATCCAAGCACCCCCTTCTGCTACTATTACTGTGTATGATCATACTGCTTTTTCTTCCTTGCAGAGCTGCAATAGTTAACTCAATACCATATCAAGAACCAGGTGGCTTTTTCTTCATGCTTTCACTGTCTCCTATAACCTGCAGTTAGAACAGAATATTTCATGCAAATGATATTATGTCAGCTGAGTCTTCAATACTGTCAAAGGACGCACTCAACCATCGTTAAATGCTTCAAATACCATTATCAGATGCAGACAAAAACTGTAGACACATCCAAAATACATTAATTAACATTACCTTGCATATTGGCTGCAGAAACTACACCGTCATGGAACGAGACTCCTCAAAAACTCAGTTTTATAAAGCTGGACCAAACTTATTCCAATGCCAGTCTACCTAGTGAAAAACAAGAAAATAAACATCAGTGGGTGCGGGTCATGAATGGGCTAAGACCTAAAATACAGACCCAACAAAAAATACTGAGCGTGCTGGTTTCTATTTTTTATTTTCTTATTCTCAAAATAATCTTATAAAATTATTTTTAAAATAAATCTTGAGAATAAAAAGAAAAAAAATGTTTGTATAATTATTTTAAAAAATTAGATTTGAAAAAAAAAAAAAATGATATTTGGTAAGCAATGGTTGTCACCAACAATAATACGTGGCAGGCAATAGGTTTCTTTAATTTTTGAAAACAAAAAATAAAAAATATGAAAACAAACATATTACTATTTTTCAATTTTTAAAAACATATTACTATTTATTATTTTAAAATAACCAACTAAAAATAAATTATCAAACAAATTTTCTTAAAAAACAAAAAATTGCTTTCCAAATAAGAAACTAAACAAACTCATTATCTCCAATCCTAATTATCCCCAACAAAAATAGTACTGCTTTTGATTCTTGATGTAAGAGTTAGTTATTAACTTAAAAAAATTTAAAAAATTTAGTTAAATTAATTTTTTTGTAATAAATAGGTGTTGTTTTCTCTAAAATACCATTATTAATTATATGTATTAGCTAGAACTACCGTGTAATGAAATATTATAAGGATTTTCTTGAGAAATAATGGATAAATATGATAAACAAAGTGAGTTAAATCTTATATTTAGGATAAAATTAAATTCAAATTAACTCTCATATTAAAGACTCGAGTTAGTATTACAGTATTGATTCTACTACCTCCGGTCTTAATTATAAGATCTTATTTGTAAACTATAAACAAAATCTTATAATTAGGAGCAAAGCTATTATCATTAACCATATTATTTTGTTGGGTATGGGTCTATACTCTTGGATTACCTATCAACTACTATTTTGGGATTTGCTTCCTTGTATTATAACTCCCTTCTCAAATGCATAAGTTAGTCAAGGCTCTGTTTTGATTTTAAATTTGAGATCTTTTTTCACTTCATTTTTAAAATTTGTAATTTTTCTCAAACCATTCCATCTTGATTATGTAGCTTAAATAAGTATATCTATTATCAAGAATACAACTGATGATTAATAATGTATTTCAAAGAAATTAACAGAATCTTTGTAACACATAATTAACTGAATTTTTAATAGTTAGAAATTAATGATCTAATTCTTACTATTATAAATAGAATAAGCATTATTAATGGTACTTAGTGTTTGGTTTTCTCTCCTTATTTTACCCGGGTTACTCCCCCCATATCAATGTACCCAATGACCCGACCTAATATAAATATAAGCATAGATTTCATACTAAACTTTGGCATGAGAATGAAATGAAGTATTATATTACAATTTAGATAGAGATTGCTGGATGACAGATTTACTCAATTCTTTCCTCAAAATTTTTCCTCCTGCGTTCTTTGGGATGGAACTCACAAATAATACGCGCCTTATTTTCTTGTACGGTGCAACCTGCAAGCAGGGGGGATAATAATATTTGTTTAGTTTGTGATTCATCCCACCCTCTTTAGTAGATGATGTATTTTAAAATTTATATCAATTTTGAAATATATAAAAATAAAAAATAAAATTGGAGAGATTCAAGCCCCTCCATTTACCACGCCAATAAATAAAAACACAACATAAAAAGTAAGGCTGTGCTTGTTTTATCGTTTTAAAAACAGTTTTTTATTTTTTTTAAGAAATAAATAAAAAAACTTGTTTTGTAATTTGTTTTTAGCTAAGTGTTTTTAAAAACAAAAATAATTTTAAAAAAAAAAAACTAAAAACCAAAAAAAATTTAGTCGTTTTCCTTATTTTTGTCTGTTCATTTCTTATTTTTTGTTTAAAAAATTGGGAAACCCTTTTTCTCAACTCGATAGCTTTTTCTCCATTTAAAGACTTGAATTTTCACCGAAGTTTCATTCTCTGATCTCTTTTTTTATTTTAAAATGTAACTTTTAAGAACAAGTATTTAAACAGATTTTCTTGTTTTTTGTATTTTCAAAAAAATTTTCAAAAAAATTTTATAAAATTGTTTTTAGAATAAAAAAAACAAAAACAAACATGCCCTAACACATGATGATTTTTTTTAAAAAAAAAAAAACCACAATTCATCCTTTTTGAAGCTCCATTTTTTTTGGGTCAAATTTTTAAAGCTCCATTTGAATACAAGGAAGATATCACTGGTGAAGATATCTCCCAGCAGCCACTCATATGAAAAATTTGGTGACAGTTCAAATATAGAACATGCACCATAGGGATGAGATATGCAAACCTGCTTGGCAACAAAATCAATTACGTCCGCTTCACTAAGTGAGCTGTGGGGTTGCCTCACCACAAATGCCATGGGCACCTGCCCTGCTTCTTCATCAGGGTATCTGTTCCCACATTACAATTATATTATGTTAGATGCTAATACTCCCTCTCGCTAACATTCTCAACTAATTCTCACATATCAAAAAATGATAGTTAAAACATTAAACCTGTCCTAAGTTGATAATTTTTTTCAAGATTATCCTCAACTTAAATGACGCAAATAAATATGGATTTTAACACTAAACCTTAATTATTAACTAGGATAAAATTGAAAAGTAGCAATTAATGCGTTGGTTTGTGACTTATAGTATTTATGACCAACAATTTCTTCTAGATGATGTCCTATGATAAAAACAAAAAAGAGCATAACATCAGGGCACCAAGACATCTAGAGGTTGCGAGTTCAAGCAAGGTAAGATTCAGGTAAATAGTGGAGGTTGTGAGTATGAGCTTCTACGTGGGAAAAGTGTAAGGTGCGGAAATCACATTATTCGCTGACCATTTAACATATAACTTATCTTCAGTTAAGTGTAAATGCACACAAGCTTCCCTATAATTTAAATAAAATATGGTGTTTTATTTGGTAAATAATATTCCTCCGATTTTAAATGTAAGATCTATTTTATAGTATAAATTACATTACAAAATAAGTTTTATGTTCAGGATAGAGTAGTATAGAAAAGAGGGAAGTGGAATATTACGGAATAACCGCAGCGTCCTTGATCTGTGGATGGGATTGAAGCAAGTTTTCCAACTCCGCAGGAGCCACCTGCAATGTCCAATATCAAAGTTCATTTATAATAGTAATAAATTTACATACAGAGTTTATTATTTATGAATATTGTTAAATTTGGAATTATGAAGATTTTAATGAAGTGTAAGGAACAATAATTACCTGGTATCCCTTGTATTTGATCAGTTCTTTCAATCTGTCAACAACGTAAAGGTAGCCTTGGTGGTCAAAGTAGCACAAGTCTCCTGTCCTCAACCACCCTCCAACAAAAGTCGACGAGTTTGCGTCTGGATCCCCAACATAACCTGTTCTATTCCCAGATCATATCTTTCATGTTTGTGGCTTAAAATACTAATTGCCTGCTTGTATAAAATTTACTTTTGAAGTACTTTGAGGAAAAAGTAATTAAAAGAGTTTTAGAAGTTTAATTCAGTGTAACTCGGTCGTTATAATTTTAACAAAAATGCTTATATCAAGTTCTTTATATCTATTATGTCAAGTTCTTCAATAACTCAAACATCTATCTTATTTTTAAAATGTTGTCATTAAACTATATATTTATATACAAAAATACAACATATTTTCATATTTAATTGGAGAATTTAACATACTAGATATAATTAATGAACCTGACCTAAATATTGTCTTGATTTTAATTCGATTAAAATTGATTCTCTCAACTTAAACTTGGTACGATCCAATTAGTCCCAGCTTTTTAGAAAATAAGACTACAATGACAAAGATTATTTATTAAATATTAAGGACCAATGTTTTAATTGATCAAAATCATAGGAATTGGATTGCATGAAGTCATATTTTAAGGATCGACTTACATTTAGTTGAAGTTCAGGCACTGACTTGTAATTGAACCAAAATTATAAGTTCCAAATAATTAAATTTTTCTTACTTATAATTATTATAAAACAAAACACATACAAGTGGGAGACCTATCTCTTATATTGGGTAAATATGATACCTCTAAAATAAATATACAAATATACCTTTCATTATAGAGGGTCCTCTGAGCCAAAGTTCACCTTCTTGGCCAGGAGACAAGGGCAGTCCAGTGTCTGGGTCCACAATTTTGGCTTCAACACCTGCTATTAGCTTCCCGGTTGTTCCTGTCTTAGTGGCATCTCCTTCACCTGTGGTTCGACAGATCGATGCCGTTGTTTCTGTTAACCCATAGCCCTACATTTTCACAGTACTTATATGACTTAGTTTAGAGAGATTAAATTACAGAAAAAATTCTATTTAATTTAGATTGGCCTTTAAATTTTTGCTTTATTTTAATCACTTAAAATTTGAAAATATTTACTATATAGTACATAAATATGGTGTATCTTTATTTCAATTTCATAGAACATTTAGAATAGAAATCATTTTCTGAATTCTTCAAATGCTATTTGAAAAACAAAATTCTTTATAAGCTAAAGTTTAATTAAAAGATTGAAACGAATTTTACGGTAACAAAAATATTTAAAGATATTTTGTCGCTTCTTATGTTATAAGTAATAATTTATTACGTTTTAAAATTTATCCACTAATCAATATCAGCATATATAATCAAATCCAAATGCCCAAATAATTACAATCATTAGGAAATCATATAGTATGATGAGATTCTCTCTCTGTTTCTTTTTTTTTTTTTGTGGCCAAAATGATGGAATTTATTCTCAAAAAAATTCTGCGAAATATCCTTTTATGGTTAAACTGTTAAGTGTGGCGTCGTTGAGATTAGTTCATTGTTGTAATAAAAAAAAAAAAAAGGATTAGTTCCCTGTAAATATTGCCGTTTTGTTCACCAAAAAAAAAAATATTGCCGTTTTGCTTTGAAATTCCTCAAAGCGCTGCCAATGAATGACGTAAACACTAACCTGGCCGAGCACGACTCCGGGGAACTTCGATTTGAAAGCCGCGACGGCGTCCTTTCCTAACGGAGCCGCCCCGCAAGAGATGCCTTCCAGCGAGCTCAAATCGTAACCGTCCGTTACATCTCCCTTCGCCATAGCCACCACCACCGGCGGAGTCACCGCGAGGTGAGTCACTCTGAACTCATCCACCGCCCGCAACATCTTCTCCATTCTGAACCTCTCCATCAGCACCACCGTCTCTGATAGCACAACCGACCTGAGACAGTAGGTGAAACCGTACACGTGAAAATACGGTATCGTGTAGAGGAAAACCGCCGGCCTTTCTCTCTGAGGACGACTCGCGTCGTAACTCGCCGCTAATGCTATCAGATTCCGGTGACTCAGCATTACTCCCTTCACCTTCCCCGTGGTCCCCGAAGAGTACAAAATCGCGGCTATATCTGATTGGCTCACCTCCACGCGCGGGACCACTGGTTTCGTGAGGCTTCTTGCCGTCGTCATCAGCGAGTCGAACTCAGGTGAGTCGAGAAGGATGACTCCGAGGCGTAGGCTGTGCGGAAGGTTTTGTGCTGTGGACGACGTTGTGAAGGCAATGACCGGCGACGATAGCTGGAACAGGTGGGAAATCTCGGCGCGTGTGCTGATTGGGTTAGCCGGAGAGACGACAACCCCAAGGGAAAGCAGGGCGAAGTAGAGGATCGGAACCTTAATGAGGTTGGGGGATAGTACAAAGGCTGTGTCGCCTTTGGAGAGGCCAACAACAGATTGTAGATTAGAAGCTAAGGTTTGTGAGAAATGGATGAACTCGGAGAAGGAAACTCGGTGGCTGGAGGCCGCGTCGATAAGGGCGGGAACTGAGTCGGGCCAGGGCGATTTGAGACGGAGAGAGAGAGCGTACTGTGAAGCAGAGAGGGGAGAGTGAGGAGGAGGAAGATGAACGGGAGGTCTGAGGCTGTGGAAGGTTCTAGAATCCGAACAGAAACCGCTCTTTGAATCAACATTCTCCATGGGAAGAGAAGCTAAGCTTGAAGAATGAAGACTTTTCTGGATTCAGGGTTCAGACCCAGCCGCAAGAGACAACACAGTAATGCATAGGCTGAACTTATTTATTTATTAAAAATATTTGTTGATTTTTTTAAAATATATATTTTTTAATCATTTGTTGTGCAACTATCTCATAATAATAAAAATTCTCATATTAGGTGTAAATGTGATTGATATAAATAGTTTTAAAAAATAATGTAAATTTGAGACACAAAATATGTTAACGTTTGATATTTATTATTAAAATAAATATCCTACCTAATTGTTATATTTAGTAGGAGTAATAAATTATGTCTTAAATTCTTTGGTGTTATCGCCTAGACCATATAAGAGGAAATATTTGGCTGCTAAGTACTTGTCCAGATTCATGGATTTTGTTTGGTTTGAATTATTTAATTCATATTCATATTAAGTTAACAAGAGGACAAGTTATGAAACAAATTATTACCTTCTCTCCTTGATATAAGTACTAGTAAAATATTTAATTTGATCATAAATATAAGACTTTAATTCATTTTATTTTTCATCTTTTGTCAAAATATCTTTATTGATTGTAAAGAATTTCCATAATTCCAGTAGTCATCTGTTGCACATGATTAAAAAGAATAGTTTAAGAAGATCAATATATACATATGACAAATAATCAACTTAATTGATTTTTTAAATTAATTATCTAATTCTTATATTATCAACCAGATAATTTTTTTATGATTAAAACAACACAGAGTTTTTTTTTTTTTTTATGATTAAAACAACACACTAGTGCCAAACTTAATAGTTAATACTTTAAATTGATGCCAGATGTTCTTTTGTTTTTGGTGGTCGTAGACAAGGAAGAATCCTAAGGTAGTTCACATGCTCGTGCAACATAAAATTAATTAGAAAATGATTGTTAGCTATTTACTCCTCCAGTTTTTAATATAACACCTAATTATCAAGTTGATTTTGGTTTTAAATATGAGAGTCATTTTTCATATTTATTAATTTTCTCTAAATTAATTTTATAGACACTCCCTTAGCCATAATCAAATAGAAGAAGGAGAGGGGATATTAAAAAATATGATTATGGTATTTTAGAAAAAATGTGTCACATTTCTTATAATTAACTAATTTACCTAACTTCCTTAATCTAATCAAATTAATTAAATGAGTTTTATATTAAGAATCGGAAGAGTATATCACAACACCCTAATGGTGTTATCGAAGAGACAGAATATACATTAATATCAATATTTTTTTTTTGGTAAAAGAAGAGATGAATGATGTTATATTCAACTCAAAATAATTATGTTAATAAATGGGCATTTTATGCATAGTAAAAATTGGTTTGTGAAACGGAAAACAGATCAAAGCTAAAATGTATTAATATATTAACATTAATTTATATAAAAGAAAATTTATAAAATGATATATTATTTATTGAAAATAATTAATTCGTAGATTCTTATGGTATTACCCGATTTTTATTACGTTCTTATATTTTCTATTTTTTTTTAAAAAAATTCTTAATTATAAGCATTAATCCCTAACTTGTTTTTATGTTGATCATAAATAAATTTTATTCCATCATTTTATTTTTTGAAAATCTCTTTTTTATCTTGTTTGGTTTACACAATGACGACAAGACATATAAGAGCGCAGGTAATCAAATAGAATCATAGGATGAGACCACACAAAATGCCCATTCATTGAGTTTTTTTTTTTTTTGGACTGAAATACCATTCATTGAGTTTTCTATGGGAGGAAAAGTCTGAATTGTTAGTTGGAAAATTGAACTTACGTTTCACGTGTTGCTTCCTTGTATGTGTCGTGATTTTGGTGCTCTTTGAAAGCTACCACTGAGTGGCCAGCACTCCACATGATTAGGCCTTGGTGCTTATTGAGTTTTGTTATGATACTGTTTGATAGAGCAGTAAAAATCTTTTATAAATATATTTTATGCAAGTTAAGATAAAATTCTTTTTATATTTTTTTATATTCTGTAAATCACTATTAAAAAACAGTTTATAAACTATTTATAAACTGTTCCAAACGAGTTTGGAAGAGTTTCTTATAATTATTTTAAAAAATATTTTTACATAATTCAAGAAAAAACTAATCTCGCGTACTTATTTTGTATATAGTAAAATCACCTCTGAAAAGTAAATTCAAACACCCTCTTTGCAGAGCCAGAGCCACAGCCACGAACGCATTTATTTTATTTTTTATAGTCAAAAGCCAGGTTCCCCTCTTCCGCGTGGTGTTTCGGGACGCAATATTGTTGTGAAAAAATACAGTAAAATTATTATTATTACTATCTCCGGTTCTTAATATTAGAACTAATTAATTAATTTGAATAGATTAAAAAAATTTATTAAGTTAATTACTTGTAATAAATATATATTATTTTTTTAAAATACCCTTACTAACAATATACATTAGCTAAAACTATTATTTGATAGAACATTTAACACGTGTAATTAATACAAGAACTACTTTAAAAAAAGATAAATATAAGAGACAAAATAGATTAAAATTTTATACTACCTCCAGTCCTAATTATAAGAGCCAATTGACTAATTTGAGGAGATTAAGGAAGTAAGTTGAGTTAGTTGTTTGTCCTAAATAGGTATTGTCTTTCCAAAAATATCTTTACTTATCAAATGTGTTAACTATAATTATAATTATTAGAAAGATTATCTTGGAAAAAATTGAGTAAATATGAGAAAAAAAGTGTATTGGAGTCTTATATTTAGAATCAAAATAAAAGTCAAATAGGGTCTTATATGAAGAACCGGAGGTAGTATTTATAACTAAATTAAAAGTTAAATTAACTTCTAAACGGATAGGCGGTAGTATTATTATTAGTACTATTATTATTATTGATTGAGTCTGATTCTTCAAGCTTTGTCAGGTACATGCCTGTGAAAGCTCCCAGTCCACCACAACCATCATACTATTAAAAATTTAAAATATAAAATAAATGTGAACTATTTTTTAACCTTTGTTTTTTTTAATAGCTCATCCAATATGGTTTTCTGAACCTACCTCACTTCAATTGGAGGTTTTATTTTAGTTCGGAGTAATTCAAATCAAGCCGGACACTGGATTACTCTGGACTTGGATCAATTGAAGTGAGGTAGGTTGAGAAAACTGTAATGTTTGATGGTGAAACCTCAATTCAATTTGAATTTGTTTGAACCCAGATAAATCGTCCCGTTGAATTAAAGTCCAGCAGACTGAATGCTCCTCACAAAATTATGAAAAAAAAATTATTCAAAGATGGTTCAAATTTATTTTTAATTCTTAATAACATGATAAGGTGGTGCACTATTGAGTTTTTTTTTTTTTGTTAAATTAATCTGGATGGATGAGATTCAGTGCCGTTGAGGGACGTTATTTCGCTGCTGAGAGGATCCTGATCCTACAAACTGAAAGTTGTAATTTTAATCATAAACATTAATTTTATACTCCTCCGGTCCTTAATAGCGGACTTATTTAACTAACTTGATTAGATTAAGAAAGTTAGGTAAGTTAGTTAATTATAAGAAATGTGACACATTTTTTCTAAAACACCATAATCTTTCTCAATACCCCCTTTCCTTCTTGTATTTGATTATAGTTGAAAGAGTATCCATAGGAGTAATTTAGAAAAAATTGATAAATATGAAAAATAAGTCTTATATTTAGGATCAAAACTAACTCAATAATTGGGTCCTATATTAAGGACTGGATGAGTAATTTTCTTTTTTAAATAACAGTACTTGTCCGGCCACCATACATTTTAATATTTTATGACGACTCAACAAACTTACATGAAATAACATTTTGTCTAAATAATTATCCTTGTAAAAATAGTATCAACATTAAATAATGTTATCATTTGCTGTAAGTTACTGCAGTATCCCCTAAAACATAACAAGACTTCTTACGAGGTACTAAAACTTGACTCGAGAGAAGACATCTTGAACAAGAATAACAACGCAGACCTCAAAATACATGTTAGAATCGATGAAAAAAATAAACCAAATCAGCCAACTCAACCGAAAAGCAGATGAACCAGTTAGTGATTCGGTCTAATTTAAGTACTAAACAGGTCAGAGTAAATGATGAAACTAGTGATAAACTAATTTAGATGATTATATTGTTATTGATACTATCTTTTTTTTTTATCCAACTTCTAAAATTTTAGTCACTAAATATTTAAATAAATTTTAATAATAATTTTGATATCAATGACTATTAATTTTAATTATTGAGAAATTATACAGATTAAAATTCTTAAAGTTATTATCTTTATTATTATTACAATCAAACTACTACTATATTTTCTTGTATTTTGTTATTAATGATTGTATTAATGTTATTATATTTTGTTGTTTTCAATTAAATTATATTATTTTAATTTGACAGGTTTGATGTCGAGTTAATTCTAACTGTTAAAAGCTTAACCCACTACCTCAACCAATTTAATATCTGGTTCAATTTTTGGTTCTTTGATTAGAATAGAACAATTAGACCAAATTATAATTCATTACAATGACATTAATAAAAACAAAGGTGCAGCCCAGACAAAGAAAATACATGAAATATTAGGTTAAAATGCAAATTTACGTCCAAAATTTTCAATTACAACCTGAAAGTCTTTTTAAAAATATTATTATGATTTTAAACTTTCAAAGCAAATTAGCTCCCAAAATCCAACGCTCATGAGCTTCCAGGATTAATACTACTACAAATCTAGTTGGAAGAGAACTACAAATTTCTAAACGCAAGAATCAACCCTTTGGAAATTATATTTTGAATGATATTTAGAGTACTTTGAATGCTTTGCTTTCTCTTTGTATCCGCAAAAAAAAAAAAAAAAAGAGTACTTTGGATGCTTTAACCTATGCTTTACAATCTAGTGATCCACAAACATGCTCATATTGAGGAAGAGAACTTGAGCATACCTATAGAAATCATTTCTTAATGATCTCATACCTTTCATCATGCAGGAAGCTATAAAAGAAAAATAATAGACCAAGAAACTGGGAATGAGGACACGCACAATTCCCCATCCATGAATATAGGG